ATAGCAACACTTTGATGATAACAATTATAAATAATAAATTTCACTAAACAATGTAAATTTCAAGTGATGCCCATCTTTCATTAAATTTCCTAGACTCACAAACTGGGCAGGTGACAGACACAAAGATTTCATTTGACCATCTCTCAACTTTTCACAAGAAGGGAAAACATGGTATCAGTCTTTGCATCACTGCGCATAGGTTTCACCCCAAGGAACTGATAAGCAGAGAATATTTTTACTGGCAGCATAAAATGAGTCTACTTCGGTTCGTTCGTTTGTTGATGTAAATGCTGATCATGGAGTGCTATCCACTAGTGATTACAGACAGGCTGACCTCCTGCGTCTTTCATTCCATTTTCATCTCTACAAGCAATCTACAAACTGAGCTAGGATTAATCTTAAACCATATGACCTCCCACAGGGAGGAAATGAACATCCCCCCACTAGGATACTATTCAAATTACAGACAGCCCTCCCACTGGGATGAAATAAAAGCCTCCAACCATGGGTATGGGTCAGTCTGTTCTCATCTGTGGGGTGCACTGCTGGATATAAAACACCTTAATTCATAAAAAATGTTGTATAATTTCCAAACATGTGCTAAATTTGAGCTGTGAAGATTCCTGTAGAGGACTATACTACCAACTAATACATGTACACTTACAGATCACCTGTTACACCTCAAATACAATGCCACTCCCCCTATGTGTGGAATGCTGCAGTCCACACATTGACAATTCTACTGGGAAATCTATACTAAGCAATAAGCTTGAAATGTAGTCTCAGTGGGCAGTCCCCCCAAGGGTGCAGGTAATGTTACTGCCTATTGGTGAATGCCAGATATCTACATTTTAACAGCAAGCAACACAGACACCAAGGGAGAACTCAGAACAAGACTCAATGGGAAGCAAGAATTTCACCTAATTAACCAGCAGTGACAGGGCCCGCTGTATTTTCTTCTCACTAACTCTCAGTGGGGTTATTTTACAACTCGCCACATTTTAATATTATTCACACACATTTCTGTCAGACATGAGCTGTGGGCCCATCCAGGGAGTTACAGCCCACATTTTATTCAGGGGCTCACCAAATTAAAATGTGTGTACATTGTAGTCCTCTGGGACCAGTGCAACTTAACTTCAGTCATACATATTTTTGTCTACATTTTTTGTTCAAATAATCAATAATAAAAATAATAATTATAATCTTCACAATTTAAATAAATTTGTGAAACTTCACAATACAAATATTCTTTGGACTTTCATTTCATTCGTCATTTAACAAATTGATGGGAGTGTTGGCGAGTGTTATTAGTGTGGTGTTTAGACAATAAAAATGGGCGGTACTTCCACTGATACAAACGACTTCCCGCGTGAAAAAATAAAAAAGGCCGATCACATTGGTACCACGACAACCAGGGACGTCAGCCATCCATTGCCCGAGTACAGGGGACAATTGTACAGTGTAAAAAGGTTGGAAAGTACTTCATTATAAAAAAAAAAAAACAGAATGTATCAGAATATCCAAGTCGAAATATAAAACTGTGTCTCTTTCAGCCTGGAGGTGGCCCCTATCTATACGTGACCCAGATCGCGACGGAATATAGCCACCTCTTCGCATTCTCCCCTCGTTTGACAGTCCCACCCCCTCACTGTGCTTGATCCCTGTGATATTCTCAGAACGATTTTAAAGATCGTTGTGATATGTGCTACTTACGTTTGAGAGCTCTTGGTTTTGCCTGTTTTCGTCTGGACATGGTGTTCGGGGATTAAAAACAACGCTGCCCGCGAGTCAGTCACGCGATCATCACCTTCTCCCCTCTGCAAAATACGATCAGTTCTCCCTACCTGGTCACAGTGGATGTGGGCTACGCCAAATTGGGGGACGAGCACGCTGTTTTAAAACCACGAATACCGTTGACAAAGATTGCACGTACGAATGAGGAGGCCTAACCATATCAGACAACGGAGACCGACTGACTGTGCAGCTGGAAAGGAAATTTGCAGCTTTCGCTGTAGGGGTTCCGCACAGTGGGAAAGCCAGGTTTATCGCGAACATTCTCAACTGCGCATGTGCCGGAAGGAAATTCCCTTATGACGTAAATGGAGCTGAGCCGTATCATGTGAAATCATGACATAGTGATCCAACTTCACGGCGTGCAGTGAGCGAAACAATAGGATAGTATAATTGATAGCTTTGTTTTACTATTAATGGAATACCTCTTGGAATTAAATTTCACTAGTCGGTGTAATGACTAGCAGCGGCATTAATAAAATATTTGTGTAATTCGATTAAAGCTCGACGGATATTTAATTGTTAAATTATGTAAAAAATTCCGAGTTCTACATGACATATACAAGCAGACGATTACAACGTAAGTGGAAATAGCGCACAAGCGGACGGGTTTGTAACCGACTCTTATAGTGGGTATATTCGGTGACGTCGTTACCACAATTTGTGTGATCGGTCGGAGGAGGGGGGGGGGGTGTCTCTCGTAAAACTGGTTTGAAAGAATTTCTTTATAAACTCTTACTCCGTGTTCTTAAAAGGTCAGTTGCTCAAACAGTACAACATATTTGCGTCTATAAACTAACTAATTTCTATTGGGGTTTTGAATAACATGCACTACAGATGCGAAGAAAGACAAACAAACAAATTGGAATAAAAATAAAAACAAGCAATAAAAAACAACAAACCTAACAAGCAAATTAAAGTAGAAAAAATAATGGAAAAATAATTTGGATTGTTTTTCATATTTGTGTTGGTGAATAATACAAATGCATGTACATGGCCTTATGTTTGTTGTTTTCATATTTTCTCCTCTGGTTTTGAAACAGTTCTGTATTTTGCTATTTGTATTAATGTTTCTCATCTTTAGTATTATTTTTAAAATATTTTATGTTTTCATTCTCCTGCTTAAAGATCACATGTTAACAGAAAATGTTCTTCGTCTTCTATGACATTCTTCTCACAAAGTAAACACTTTCTGTCAGATATATCTGTATATATCTCCCAATTTATGTTTGTAGTCTGTGAACACTAATCCTTAATTTTGTCATTGATGACCTGTAATGAGTATTTTTGACTACGTGTAAGTAGTTTTCACAGCCAAGGTCGGTTTTCAGTTGTCTGTACGTGCGGATTTTTTTTTAATATTTTAAAATCTATAATTACATAGTTCGCGTTTTTCATTTTTCTTCATGTCACAAATGGTCTATATCTAAATCTTTAAGGACATGATCCAGTTGTACATGCCAGAGTTGTCTAGTTCTAAGACGTTACTGTATGCTTTATATACCAGAGAATTTTCAGTCATTTTGTTTAATTCTAGACCAGTATTTGATCATCTGTTTTATCCCTGTTGTAATTAATGGATACCTTCCTAATTCTAAAAGACATGCCACATTAGTCGCTTTGCTGTTAACTTTGAGTAGGTATTTGCAGTATTTCATGTGCAATTGTTCCTTTGGTGACATGATATTCATATACATCTTTTGGTGTTTAATTATACTATCTGACCAGATTTCTGCACAGTATAAAAGTATTGGTTTTATCATGGTATCAAACATTTTAACATGTTTTTATGGTATGGTATCTGAGAATAATAACTGTTTCATTTTGAAGCATTTTTTATAGCTCTATTTTTAAGATCTTGTTGTGCCAAGTCAAATTTACCATTTGTTTTCAATTAAATTCTAAGATAAGTGTATGTTGACACTCTTTCTAATTCTACACAATCTATGTGAAAATTTAGATTTTTTAACGAGTTTGCCACTTTTGTTTTATTTATTTATTTATTTATATTAATGCTTAGTTTCCATTTTTTTTGCAGTATATTTGGAGTCTGTTTAGTACATTCTGCAAACCTGAATTGCTTTCTGATAGTAGAATTAAGTCATCCTGCGCACAGTAAACATGGCAGTGAATTATTTCGCAAAGATGATGGCGGATTGTTTTCCCCATATTCATATGTTCTTTAATGTCATTGACGAATGTTTTAAATGTTTTTGTTAAGCCATTTTTTTGTGTTTTTGCAAATAAATGTTGGTAATTTCTATTAATTGTTTGGTAAAATGTTCATATGAGTCAATATTTATATTATCTTTAGAGGGGGCTATTTATTGACGGTATGAGTCTGTACATGAAAAAAACGGGCATACGGTCCCACTGAATGTACACCTGAAAGGAAATAAAAAAAATAGAAAATCAGAAAATATCACAATGAAATCAATACATAGCGGGAATGAATAGCGGGACTTGTTTGAGAAAACTGTCCGATAAATGTGATAACTGGCTTAGAATTTTGAAAAAGTTGGTAGATAGCCAAGAAAGATAGACGCACAGCAAACTCATTAATTATTCACTGATTTTTAATTTAGCTATAATTAAGTAAAAATCGCTAAATTAAATCCACGTGAACATGTAAACATAACATATATCTCATTGTTTACCTACCAAGTTCTTGAACTCAAAATCCAGTGAAATTTCCCAAACATCAAAGTAGGGATATTAAATGGTTTCACACTATATGAATATCTCCAGTATGTCGTCTGAGCCAAGCGAACAGAGTCGAGTTTTATACATGCTTAGTGGGTAGATGCAAGGCATGTGAGATGCATGCTTAGTGGGTAGATGCAAGGCGTGTGAAATACATGCTTAGTAGGTAGATGCAAGGCGTGTGAGATACATGCTTAGTAGGTAGATGCAAGGCGTGTGAGATACATGCTTAGTGGGTAGATACAAGGCGTGTGAGATGCATGCTTAGTGGGTAGATGCAAGGCGTGTGAGATGCATGCTTAGTGGGTTGATGCAAGGCGTGTGAAATACATGTTTAGTGGGTTGATGCAAGGCGTGTGAGATACATGCTTAGTAGGTAGATACAAGGCGTGTGAGATACTTGCTTAGTGGGTAGATGCAAGGCGTGTGAGATACATGCTTAGTGGGTAGATGCAAGGCGTGTGAGATACATGCTTAGTGGGTAGATGCAAGGCGTGTGAGATACATGCTTAGTGGGTAGATACAAGGCGTGTGAGATACATGCTTAGTAGGTAAATGCAAGGCGTGTGAGACACATGCTTAGTGGGAAATGCAAGGCGTGTGAGATACATGCTTAGTGGGTAGATGCAAGGCGTGTGAGATACATGCTTAGTGGGTAGATGCAAGGCGTGTGAGATGCATGCTTAGTGGGTAGATGCAAGGCGTGTGAGATACATGCTTAGTGGGTAGATGCAAGGCGTGTGAGATACATGCTTACTGGGTAGATGCAAGGCGTGTGAGATACATGCTTAGTGGGTAGATACAAGGCGTGTGAGATACATGCTTAGTAGGTAAATGCAAGGCGTGTGAGATGCGTGCTTAGTGCATGCACGCTTAGTGGGTATATGCAAAGCGTGTGAGATGCATGCAAATAACACCGAATAAACGGCAAGGTAAATACTACGTCAAATTATAGTAAACACGTACTGCGTGCGTGACTCCAACCGGCGCTCGCGCACGGCACCAAATCGCCTAGCTTCACGCCACTATACGTCTTCCCCTCGGCCACCGGGAATCCCTAAAAAAGGATGCTTAATAACCGAGCTTATTACGTGCAGAGAACATGAAACCCGTCCACGTACTGTTATAATGCTGTACCATTACTTTCACCATCCTACTACAGCCACTTCTGAAGGCCTTTGCCGCATTCTGGCCACGCTGTGTGGCGCGGATCGCGTGGACGGGTTTCATGTTCTTTGCACGCAATAAGCTCGGTTTGTGAGAATTTGGGTTCTCAATAAAAAGCTGATTCAAGGTAAACTTTAAACAACTAAAAATGTTCAATATCGTCAGACAATGACTGGAATTTCTCTATTAACCCCCAACTATTTTTTGAAATGTTAAAACTTAAAGTACGGGGTACGACGATTGCTTATAGTACTTATAGGAAAAAGGAAAATGTGAACAATTTTCAAAAAATTGAGAATGAAATTAACGCCTTGGAACAAGAATTAAATATACAAAACTCAAATGATTTGGTTATTAAATTAGAGAATAAGAAGCAAGAGTTGGAAAATATGCAACCCAGGGTGCAATAATGAGGTCGAAAGTTCAATGGGTTGAGCATGGTGAGCGTAATACTAATTTTTTTCTAAACTTAGAAAAAAGGAATTATATTGATAAAACCATAATACATTTGGAAGTGGATGATGATCGGTTAACTTCAGACCCTAAGGAAATTTTGTACACCGAAAAATTGTTTTATGAAAACCTTCATACCTCGAAACCTACTGTACCGATTGATAATTGTTTTTCAGTCCTCTCCCCCCAGTTTGTCGGAAATTCAAAAAGAACAGTGCAATGGTGAGATCACTTATACAGAAATTCTATCAGTTTTGAAAAAAATGGAAAATAATAAGACACCAGGTAGTGATGGATTTCCTTGTGAATTTTTTCTGGGACGATATTCATTATTTCCTGGTAAAGTCTTTTAATTATTCATTGTCTCTTGGTTACATGCCGATTACACAAAAACAAGGTGTTATCACTTTAATTCCTAAGAAAGATAAGGACAAATCCATTTTAAAAAATTGGCGCCCGATCACATTATTGAATACAGATTACAAGCTGGCTTCAGGCTGTATAGCCGAGAGATTTAAAACGATTCTTCCGGATATTATTAGTGAATCTCAAACTGGATATATTAAAGATAGGTTCATTGGTGAAAATACTCGTTACTTGTACGACGTGTTGCAGTACACTGAGCTTAACAAAATTCCT